CGGGGCTGCAGAGCCGGGCCCCTGCCGCTCCCGCCGCGCTGCGCTGGGCTCCCGGTCCCCGAAAGGCCGTCGGTTAAAGATCGTGTCTTCCCACAGGTGGGAGTGACAGCCCAGAAGACGATGAGGCTTCTTCCCGCCTCGGGGAGAAAGGCGACGCAGAAGGTAGCGGCTGTCGGCAAGGCAGAGCCGGCCCCGCCGGCTCCCGCTGACTTGCTCTCTGGCCGTGGAGTGTACCGTGGTACCACGAGTAGTAGTCACCTCTTGAGTTTCTTCAGGTGTTAGTACGTCCCAGGGGAAAAAAACTTTGGAACCAAGGTCTTGGAACTTTTTGGACAACTTTTGCAAAAATAGAGAGGGAAGGCTGGATTCGTTTCCGGAAAACTTCAAGAACCAATACGGAATCGTTTTCAAAACTTAAGGCGTTGCTGAAACCGCAAGGAAGCTCCTCCATATCTCTCTATTTCTGTTTTGCTAACGCCTCGTATAGATGAAATACTGCTTTTTTTAAATTTTCCTCAGTACAAGTCCAAGCTAAGGAAACTTAGTTAGGAAAACTCAGTAGAAATAATGGTGCATTTTTTGTTTCAGTAATAAATTCTCAGTATGAAAATACAACTATTCCCAAACATGCCTTTCTGGAGTGTTCTGCCCAATGGTTGCTGGTGTTTACACCGAGAAGCAGAAAAAGGATTGTAAATGCTATCGCTTAAATTACTCTTCTTAGACTTTAGTGTCCTCTCTGTAGCGGTTTATCTAGCTTTTCTACATCCAGCTATGTAAATTAAGTACTGTAGAATTTAAAGTACTTAAATTCAGGCAAATATGATTAATATGGGAAAAGCATTATTTTAAAATACAATTACGTGTGTAATAAAAAATAATTATGTTTTATATTTTCGAAGGTGGTTGTTGGAGATCAGGATGGGGTCATTACATGTTTTGGCATAAAAAAAGGGGAAGCTGTGGTAAGTGGAAATGTTCCATTTAAATTTTTGTTTTTTTAAAAACTCTTCCTAATGAACTTTGAAAGTCTGTTTTTATTGACGTGGGAAATAAGATACCTGTGGAAGGTGTCTGGGTAGAGCTGTACCTGGCCGTGATGAGGGCATGCTGATTTCATGCCTGGACGAGCACATGGTCCTCCACAGTTGTAGAGTCAGACACTAGTGTATATCATCACAAAAAAGTCAGTTTAACGCCTTTTGCTTTGCAGTTCAGTTGGGCTTAAGCCTGCACACATACTCAGCTACTGTGACTGGAGAAAAACCTGCAGTGATTCACGAAGTCAGTCACCTTAAGGGATTTTGACAAGCAGATTGCTTTTTATGAGCCTAGACTTATGCCCAGCTTAATAAAAACTGATCTTTTTCTTTTTTTTTTTTCCCTTGAGGAAGTCTGTAGCCAGCTCATAAGGACTCTATAGCAATGCAAAGAAATCTAAGTAGTCTTCTGGAATAAGAATGCAACATGTAAGAGGGAGGGAGGGAGTGTATGTCTGTGTTCTTTTTAAAAAAAAAAACCAAAAAAACCCCACAAAAAATAGCTACTAGCAGTGCTGAAATTTTCCTATGGATGAATAACACTGTAATAATACAGTCTTAATTTATTATATTATGGCTTTTTATGTTTATTGACTTACGAAATACTTGATTGCTTTGTGATTCTGAAGAGAAATGCACAGATTATTTTTGTCTGCATATAATCTGTAGTATCCTTAGTTTTGCCAGAAATGGTAAAACAAATTTATTATTCTTTATGTTAAAGGATTACCATAAATACAATACTTTTATGATGAAAATTGCTTTTCTACTTACAGCCAGTGTTCAAAACACTGCCAGGCCAAAAAATTGCAAGATTGGAGTTGGGAGGAGCTCTCAATACACCACAAGAGAAAATTTTTGTGGCTACAGGATCAGAAGTTAGAGGTTTCACAAAAAGAGGGAAGCAGTTTCTTTCATTTGAAACTAACCTCACTGAAAGCATCAAAGCTATGTATGTATGGTATTTTGCATTTTTCATAGGCATAGCAGATTGTTACTTTATGATTTTATGAAGTAATTTTTTACTGTATTGTGTGCTTGTAGGGAACATTTAAGTGCCAGACCAGCTTTAGCTTGTGCCGTGACTTGTGGGAAGGAACTTAGGTGAGGTTTAGAAAGTGCAGGGGAGCTTGGGAGGGGTCTGGAGGCACTCAACGTCAGTGCAAAGGCAGGTGAGTGGAGCTGGGGTTATTGCCATAGTGTATCATGTCCATACCCTTCCTGTAGCAGAACAGGAACAAATTTTTTATTTTTCTTTTTGGATCATGTTGTGAGATGCTGCCACATATAAACTGGCTTGAGAAGAATTAATATAATCAAAATATATTAATGAAATTTCTATAAAGGTATTCTTAGGATTTTATGTGAAGACAAAATAGGAAATTTGAGAGCTGTAGAAATCATGTGGGTTTAGCATTCATAAGAAACTTTTTTTTTAATAGCTGGAGCAGCTTGCGGGGCCCACTAATGCCTTGAATCTGTAAGCAGTAGTGCATGCATATAGTAGGGCTAAAAGACTATCACTGCAACTATACTGGGAGAATGCAATAGGAAGTGTTTTCTTTTTCTCAGGCATATTTCAGGAGCAGATCTCTTTCTTTGTGCAAGCTATATCTATAACCATTACTGCGACTGCAAAGACCAGAACTACTACTTATCGGGAGATAAAATCAATGATGTTCTCTGCCTTCCTGTAGATAAAGTGAATTGCATTACACCGGTACTTGCATGTCAGGATAGAGTCCTCAGAGTTTTACAGGTTAAAATACTTGCTTGTTTATGTTTTATGTATTGATGCCATAGAACTGGAGTAATTCTTAAGGCAATCAGCATATCAGCATGGCTTAAGCATCGTAAGGATAAGCATATTGTATCTTACTTGGTAGCATTACTGTTTATAATGCTGGTCCTTTTTTTCTTTTTTTTTTTTCCCTAAAGAAAATCATGATTATAAACTTGCAAAATGAGGATTAATAAAACCATTATAAATAAGATTTGGAATTCATAGGTGGAAGTAGATAACAAATTGGTCCCTTTAAGAAAAAGTGCTCACATAAGGGAATTAAATGTGTAAGTCTTTATCAGTTTGGAAATTCTTGCTCTCACAAATTACTGTTAAGGCAAGACTGAGTGATATTAAGTGGTTTAACAACCTTATTTACCAGATAAATTCACAGATTATTTTTAATAATAACACATTTCAAGAGTCCTATATTTTATTTATATAAACTTTGCCCTGTTTTGGCTTAGAAATGGTTCTCCCATAGGTATTGGGAGTTTGCATAAGTGAACCATATCTGTTACTGTTATTCATAATAATTTTGTCCTTATGTTTGTGGCATTTTGTTATGGTTTATTTTGTGGTTGGTGTTTTGGGGTTTGTTTGTTTTGGTTGGTGTGGTTTTGTTTGGATTGTGTTTTGTTGGTTTTTTTTTTTTTCAAAACTCATTCAAGATAGTTCTCTTTGTCTTTAGGGGTCTGATTTACTGTATGAAGTAGAAGTTCCTGGACCACCTACTGTTCTTGCTCTAAACAATGGAAATGGGGGTAACAAGATTTTGAATATACACATATCTAAATAATGTTATTTTACTATATTTTTAAGATTTTATTGCTTGTATTTGTTAATTACATTTTGCCTTGATTTTTAAGCTGATGTTAAAAATGCAGCAGAGAGCTGACTATGTGAAGTCATTTCTTACGTACAAATAAATACATATACACACATATAACTGTATTAGCTCTAAATGATATTCACATTTAATTGAAAGCCTCTTACAAGAGCAGTGAGATGTAAGGTGGTCTCATTGTGTAAATACAAACTGGACTTTTGGGGGCCTTGTCAAAGTTCTGGGTTTGGGTTTCTCTTACACATGGATTTCCATAACTAGAATCGCTAGTTGCATCTGTCCGTGGATGGATGAGAATATAGAGTAGAGCTCACATAAACTTAAGACTGTGGAAGGATCAAGCTTAAAATAGTTTGATCATCCTTCTTGCTAATCTGTTCTAACCTAATTGCAATCGCTTTAGTGTGTTGATCTGGTGCTTAATTTAGTTTCAGTTAGGTGGTGTGACAATGACATTGAGAGTTGGTTTGGAAAAGTTGCTCGTTCTTGCTTGTGTCTTGGCA